TCCCCCGCGGGGTGCGACCCCGCTGCGGCGCCCCGCGATCCCGCACCCGGGGCGACCGCTTCAGGGCAGCGCGGTTAGCGTCGCGCTGCGGCCACCTGTGCCCGGCGAGCGTTGCTGTGGCCTGGATGAACAGCGCTGGGGCCGCGTTACAATGTTGCTTTTTAGAAATCGCGTATCACGTGTTTCTGAACTCGTGCGGACAGTATATGGAATTTTAAAACAGTACATAGTGAAAGAATGTTTTATTCCTTTCTCTAAAGTTTTAAGTTTGAATGCGACTGTAGTTTTTTTTTTTTTTTACCCTGCTGTTTACACTGTATTTGAGTCAGCTTTCGTTGTTTTTTTCTCAGAATATTAGCAGGTGGGATAATACGACGTTTAAGTTCTTTTCAGTCTTGAAATTGTACCTACCTGCAGAGGTTTGCTTTTGTTTTTAAACAGAACACAATACAAATTACTTACTCTTAACTTGGCTTTTAAATTTATATTTAACTTCCCCCGTGTTAGTTTTATACTCTTTTCCAAAGGTTTTGAAGTTAATGTTCTAAATTTTCTCCTTCACATTGGTAAATTATGTTTAATATTTTGGGGTATTTGGCGTATAATTTTAACTGCCAGCCGTGGAGCAAAAGAAAAGTCTGCATGATTTGGCAGTTTTGAGGTTTTTGTTGGAAATGTTGAAATGTTTGAAGCAAGATATCGAAAGATGAAAAGGTGAAAGGGATGATTTTTCTCAAAAGGGTGTGAATTTGAAATGACTGGAAAATACCAGTTTGAAATTACCTGATACTACACTAACAGCTAGTTGTAATGTACCCAAAGCACATTTTCCCTGATTGCCAGCTAGTTTAAAGATACAATGTGTCTTTGCTCTGTTCTAACAGAAGTGTGAAAACCCTGTGTGTTTCTTTGTAGGGTATTTGAAGAAGCTTTAGGCTTTTGGCAAATGTTAGCATTTCAGGGTCCATTCTCTTCCAAGTCTGATAAGACACCCTGTGATACCTTGCTAGAAGTACACTTCTGGACTCGGAACACATTGCTTCTTTCTTTCACTCAGTATTTGCAGGAATTTAATTTTAATCCTCAAAGTAGTTTGAACACACTCTTGAAGTCGATTCTAAATGAATTACGATATAAACCTCCTGTAGGGTTTTTGTGTATACTTTTTCATTGAAGTTTGCTGATTTTCCTTTTTCAGTAGACATGGGAAAGTCTCTTTCTCATTTACCTCTGCATCCAAGTAAAGAAGATGGGTATGATGGAGTCACATCAACTGAAACCATCAGGACTGGACTGGTTAACAACGAAGTCCATAATGAAGACGGAAGAAACGGAGATGTCTCTCAGTTTCCGTATGTGGAATTTACCGGAAGAGATAGTGTCACTTGCCCCACTTGTCAAGGAACTGGAAGAATTCCTAGGGGTATGTGTTGCTGTTTTGTTTGTCCTTTCAAGAATGCTCTACAACTTTGGCTCAGATGCCAATAGTATAAAACCTACTGTTTTAAGTGACTTAAAAGAAAAAGTAAGATTTCGTACCAGTTACCTTCAGTTAAAAGAACACAAACAAACGTGAAGGTTTCTAACACAGTAATGAAAATGACTTCGGTCCATCCAGTATTTTTTCCTTTCCTGCCCGCTATAGTAGGTAATGCACACTGTCTTTTGGAAACTTGGTCCTGTTTGGCATCCGTAGAAAGAAAGTCACAGTTGCTTCTCCTGTTGGCTGTTAGAAGCAACTTCAGTAATTTGGTCATTTGAACATTTGTAATTCATTATTTAAAGAAGAAAACGTGGTTTTTATCCAAAACAGACTACTGCTCTGCTATCATGAGGATAAAGAGGTATTGATATGTGAATGGAGGTACCTCTAGATCATAATGTTAAGTGAAATAACAGACACACAAGCTTAAACACCACGTGGTTTCTCTTACGAGAAACATGAAATAAAGAGCAAAATAAAAAACAATAGGAAACAGGGAGAGGTTGTTCATATGGGAAGGAGAACAAGAGATAGAGAATGAAGAGGGAAGAGAGATGGGGAGAAAAGATTAAAGGAAGAGCATAGGAAATTAGAACTTCTGTAAGTGGACAAGGTGACCAGGAGTTGGAAGGAGCAGGGAGAGATGAGAGGGTCGGGAGGAAAAAGAAAATGGAGTTGTGTTATGAACAGGGACCAAATGTCCCCAGTAAATGGAATCATTTTGTACTGCAAAGGATGTACCGATAAAGAAAAAAGAAAGAACAAGTAGCTCATGCCCTAATTGATTATTTCTAAGAGGAACTCCATGGTATATGATGATGACCCAAACAGGAAGAGAAAATGAAGGCATGGTTAACCAATGGGGAAGTGAGAAGGAAGTAATCTCCTTTGTGCTGCTACTGGGCTGTAGCGGCGGTGGTACTATGCAGCGGTGACCTGTAAGGTACCCGATGCTGTCTTCCCGCTCTACGTGGTAAAAGTTGCGGAGACCGTGAAGGAAGGACAGAATGACAGTATTTCACAACCCCTGAGAAATGCCTTGTGTTAGCGGTGGGGAAGGTTACATTTCCATTGGCTACTGAATGAGATGGTTTTATCTTTGCAGGGAAAGTAGCTGTTTGAGAATAAAAGGATTAGTAGAGTTAAAGAAATCATTGCACCAGGCTGAGGGGGAAGGGAGAAGATCTATTTCAGCAATGTGTATTATAGCTTCGTGACCAGCAGACTTTTGGCAGCCTGGAGGTGGTTGTGAAACGTAGGAATAAAGGATGGTTCAAAGGTTTTTTTTATGTGAGCACCTGAAAGAATGAAGTAGCCATTTATGAAAATAGAGAAAAAGATTTGAGTTTGTTTCAGCAGAGAGATCTTAATTTTAGGCATGTAAGTTTGGAGATGAGTATTTGGTGTGGAACTGGATACCTCCAACAGGCGGTTCTTCCTTATGAGTCTGAAATTCAAGCGGAAGGTTTCGCCGGGGGGTGATACAGTATTTAAATTAAGCTGAATGAGACCCCCAAGCTGTCATTGTGGGTGGAGAAGAAAAGAGACCCTGGCACTGAACCCTGGGATCCCACAAGGTCAGCGGCATGAGAAAGCATTCATGAAGGACACCACGAAAGCACAGCTGGAATAAGAGGAGGAAATCCGGGTGTGCGCAGTGCCCTGGAAGATAAGTGAAGGAGGCGTTACTTGGAGAAAAGAACAGTCGACTTCTAATGCCACTGAGCGATCAGGTGACATGAGAGGTGATGTTCGGATTTAATGACATGTAGGCCAGTGCAGTTTTTGTACTTTGCAAAAAAGCATGTGTAGCATGTGTGTAATCCTAGCAGAATAGGGTCAAGGAGATAGAGAGCACATAGTTTGTATTTTGAGTTGTTTTGATGAAAAGTAAAATAGAGGGGTACAGGAGGGGAGTACAGGGTCTGAACAGGGATTTTTTTTTTTTAATGGCGTGATTAATGTTTGTATATTGACAAAATGGATCTATAGAGAAAATATTGGCAGTGCAGGAGATGGGAGAAGCATTGGAGGAATGTCCTGAACAGGTGAGAAGATCTGGTGGGCAGTAGGGAAGGTTACTCTTGCAGAGGAGTGTAGGAAGCTTATTTTCAGTCATAAGAGAGGTGGTAGAACGTTTGGACACAGAAGCAGTTAGGTAGGCAGATACTGTTAAGTCAGAATTCAGACTAAGTGGACTATGAAATAAAGGGTTTTGTCGGCCTTCTCATCCAACTCTGCCCAGGTGAACAGATCCCCCGAACCAGGTGCCTGCAGATGTATAAGAAAAGTAAGAAAATATCAAACCAAGAGAGCCAGAATCCTGTGATCAGGCGCTAGCAGCCTCTGGGACTGACTGACCCCTGATTACCATCTTCAGTAACCTTTTATTCAGAATCAACCAAGGAGGCCCCAGAGGAATCAGAGGATATCAACTGTTTTAGCAAGAACAGTACAACTCAATTATCGTAGGAAAGGGACCTGACCAGGAAGCCATCATGTTACGTATCTTCCTTCGCCCATATTTCAGCAAAGCATCTAGTATTCAGGGGCTTACAATGCTTATGCTAGACTTCCTCCAGAACCCGACTGTCCCGGCTTGGTCAGGCCTGAGGCAATACACAAAGCAGTAACTAAGGAATGTCCTTCTCCACAGGGTTTACTGAGGGCCAAGGTTTTTTATAATGAAATTTGGGGCAGAAGGCTGCGGTGAGTTACACTAAACCCACATGGGCTACAGGTATTGGAGTAAGACCGCATGCAGGGCAGAGTCCTGGGGTGGGAGAACAGCCCACAGAGAGAGACTCTGGGTGCTACTTGGTTGGTTGGTTCCAAAAGCAGAAGGCAGTGTGGGCTTGATGAATAAGCTTCAAGATACAGGAAGGGAATGTGCAGCGGGTTTTTCTTTTCCTTCGTTGATTTACCTTGAAGTTATGAATTAAAATGAGCTTCTGTCGCCTTCCTCCCTCCATTCTCTGACTCGAGCCCTAATTTAGGACGCATCAGAGTGTCCTGTCACTGTGGCAGTAGGGCTTGTGCACGTGAGAGCGAGCCTGAAGGAGAAGCCTGAAGCTTCAAAGGGGGCGAAGTTCGGAAAGCGGCCGTGCACTGTTAGACCGGGTGTGTGAAAGAGGAAGATACGCTGTTGAAATTGGGTCTCCGATGAGACCAGGGAGCTCTTGAAACTTGGGACTTAGAAGATTCGTGCATTGGTTTTCAGAGGGGATAGTGTTAGCATCTCAGAAGCGACAGAAGTTTCCAGAAGGAGAGGCAGCAGTGCGTTTCTTCTGCTGTCATTGAGACAGCCGAATCAGAGTCTTAGTGGAAATTGAGGAGGTGAAGGAAGGTCTGATAAATTTATATCTTCCAAAAACCGGGACTCGTGGGTTTGTTCAGTGGATTAAAGAGTAATGCGATCTTCTTCCAGATGGATTTCTGGGCTTTCTGGGTATATTATGGTAGGGTACAACTGTATTTTTATTTAATCATGTTAAAAACCCACTGCTTTTATTTTTAGGACAAGAAAACCAGCTGGTAGCATTGATTCCATACAGTGATCAGAGATTAAGGCCAAGAAGAACGTAAGTGATTATAAGAAAATAATAAAGTTTCCTGGTTTAATTTTTATATATTTTCATTTCAAATTATGTATTAATAATTACTCTACTTAGGATCATCCAAAGGTAAATTTGTGTGAGGTTGTTAAGATGTAACAGTATGCGCTTTGTGTTATTAAAGGAGAAGGATTTCTGGTTGGGGTGCTGTCTTGAAAGCAGTATGATGAGTTTGTCTTTTCAAATCCTATTAAAACATCTAGAACAGTAGTGGGAAACAGACATGTGCTGTTTTCATTAAAAATGAGCGATGAATTATTCCAGTTCCTCCCAGCATAATAATGGGCATTCAAACCATGATGGCAGCAGGGACCGAAATGTACCCAGTGCTTTGAGGTGGTCAAGGAAACCAAATGAGGGGAAGTATTTAAGGGGTAAGTGTCCCACAGAACAAAGCCAGTCTGTGCCCTAAAGACCCTATTCAGAGGACGCTGAGCAAATATTTTTGAGAATTGGTTGTTCACATGAGAAGACTGCACGCTCTAGTTCAGAGAGAGTTAAAAGCCACCTGTCCTGTTTACCTTTCTCTCCTTGCTGAGACAAAATACCCAACACCCAAAATGAAGGAAGGAAAGGTTTATGTAGCTCACAGTCTGTGGAGGTTTCAGTCCATACTCGGCCGCTCCAAGGCAGGGTGACACATGGCAGAGGGCAACAGTTCATGGTGGTGGAAGACAGCAAAAGCAGCATGAGCAAAAAGGGGAGGAAGAAGCCTCTTACCGTCTGTTACACTGTATCTTGGCCATGGGCCCATGCGGTCTCCCTGCCCTCCTCTTACACAGGCTCAGGGTGTAGACCTGCTGAGTCACTTAGCCACGCCTCTGGCCTCCTCAAGTTGATAGTGTATCAGTCAACACCGCCACAGGCCTGAACATCAAAAGGAACTGGACCATCCTAAGTTCTCAAATATTATAAATCTCGATAAGTACTCTTTCGAAAACAGAGACATGCACCCTAAGGAAAAAGCAAAAAGCTGTTGGAGGGTGGGTTTCAATCTATGCAGGACCGGAACTAGGAATAAAGCAGAGAAAATAGCCGGCTACCAGGGTGTGAATCTCAGAACTAGAGGCGAGTAGTCAAAGGCCAGCTTTTTCAAGGCACGAGGGATCCCTTGACTAGTACAACTAGGGAAGTGGCCCTGAGCCATCTCCATCACCCAGGATGGAACCTTCTCTTTAAAATACAAGTACGCTTCTTATTTAAACACCAGCAATAGGGATGGGACTCAGTGAAATGCTAACGGATGACCAAAGTATGTGAGAAAAGAAAGTGAAGCTCCAATATGAAATGTACCAGAAAGTTAGACTCATAGACAGAAGCTGTGACAGAACAGCAGGTCGGAGATTGAAAAACTCAGAAATGACAAACCAGATCACAGGAAGAGGTGGAGACTCCACAGATCCCTTAAAAGAATCAGAAAAGGGTTTTTTCCACAAAACTGGAAGAAGTAAAGGGTAACTTCATACCTTAGAAAGTACAGTAAGGGAAATAGAAACAGGAAGAATGCAAACACATAGACAAATTTATTAAAAAGTATTTGAGAAAAAATGATGGAGACTGTAAAGAAAATTGAACATGTGTGTAATTGGAATGCCTGAAAAAGAAAATCAAGACTAAAACAGAACAAATATTAAACATTTAATCCAAGAACACAGCCCTGAAATAAAAGATGTGATGCCACATATTAAAAATACACACCACCATCCCAGTAAAAACAGAAAATAAGCTAAAACAAGTAAATCAATTCTAGTGAGATTCCTGAACTTTGAAGGTTTAGTAAAACCTTTGAACGTGCAAGCAAAAGGGTCAAAAATTTGACTTATGGGGCTGGGGATATAGCTCAGCAGCAGAAGTGCCTGCCTGGCAAGTGCAAGGTCCTGAGTTCAATTCCCAGTACAAAACAAAATAAATTATAAAGGGCAGAATAACAGATTGACATGCTATTTCTTGACCACAGTACTTCAAACTAGTAAGCTGTAGAATAGCATACTTAGTACTCGTTGAGATAAAGTGAACTAAGGGTTATATAAACATTCTGACCCTTCATTATAAAATTTTTATGAAAACAAAATAAACTGATGATTATATAAAGGTTCTGACCCTTTATTATAAAATGTATAGAAAGAGGGGCTGGGGATTTAGCTCAGCGACAAAAGCGCCTGCCTTGCAAGCGCAAGGTCGTGAGTTCGGTTCCCGGTACCGGAGAAAAACCAAAAAAAAAAAAAAAATGTATAGAAAGATACCAAGATGAAAAAAAATTGGGATTAACACCTTTATAACCTTTGTGGGAACATGTTTCTGTCTATGATTTAGAAACCAGCAGTGGTGAAAGAAAAGTGAAATGAATTTGACAGAGCATAGATTAGCGTTTATAGGTTGAAAATAAAACCTTAAGTCCAGTGACAAATGGCACAAATACCTGCAAATCGTATTGCCTACCGTGGGCCAGTAGCCTTACTCTACAGAGCTTAAAAATTTAAGGAGAGAGAAACTACCCAAAGGGGGAAAAGAAACTAGTACGCACACAAATACCATTGATCTTAAACACGTTAAAAGATGTTCAATGTCGCTCATTAAAGAGATACAAAAGGAAATTGCGCTGAGACCCCGTTCCTATTTACCAGATTGGCAAAATCCAACATTTTGTTGGCATATTTAGTTGGCACTAAAAATAAGCATATGCATGCCTTGCTGTGAATGGGAGTTTGGCGTTACCTAGCAAAATTGTGTATATGAATTTATGCTTTTTGGTGGGGGGGCGCGGGTACCGGGAATTGAACTCATGACCTTGTTCATGCCAGGCAGGCGTTGTGCCCCTGAGCTATATCCCCAGCCCTGAATTTATTGTTTGGCTCAGGAACTCTGTGAAAAATATATTCTAAGGATAGTTGTCAAATTGAGTAACTAGCATTTGTAGAAACTACTCATGTGCCAGTGTTTGTAACAGCAAAAATCTAGACACAATTTAAACAACAAATAGTAGAGGGCTGGTAAGTTAAATAACGCTATGTGTACCTGATAGCAAAGTGGAATGAGAAAGAACTGTATTTTACTACAGTGTGGTATTCAGCTCACATTTTTATTTGGAAACGCATTCTACATGCACACGTGTGTACACACCCGCAAAAAGAATGAAATCATAAGCCGGTAACTATACAATTAGCGGCTCTCAAGAGTTTCAGAGGAGCTGGGAATCAAGTAAGATTGGCCGTCACAACCGCTCTGTTTACATAACCTAAAAGATGAGATCAAATGTTAAAAAAGTAGCTCCTAAAATTGAAACAAAAAGAAACATTATTTTAACTGTGTATTGAATTGATGAAGAAGCGGCTGAGAGTATTTCTGGGATTTGAAATCATTTTGTTTTGATTGATGTAGAGATGTTTTAAATGGAAGCAGAACCACAGCAAATTTTAAATTGTACTTGGTAGTTGCATTGAATACTCAGTAGGAGTATTCATGGAGTAATTTTCAAATTTTTATATGTAGAGCAAATAAGTAGGTAAATGCCATTAAGGAACAAAATTTTCAACATAGAAGCAGAGAGATGCAAGATCAGATATATTAGATTTTCCACTTCAGATAAAAATGGAAGGGCTGCGGATATAGCTCAGCGGCCCAGTGCCTGCCTGGCAAGTGCGAGGTCCTGAGTTCGACTCCTGGTTCCAAAACAAAAGGATGGAAGTTACCTAAAATAATTAAGAAACTTGACAAATACATTGAGCAACGTTTTCAGATAGTAGATCTCAGGCTGCAAAGGAAGACATCCCTCAAACAAAAAAATGATTTCAGCCATACTGTTGTTCTGCTTACTGTCTGGAAATGGGTTGTGGATTATAGCGAAGGGGAGGGAACCTAGGCAGAGCCTAGCTGCCCCTTGAAGTGTGAGGGTGGACCTGCGCTCCAGAAGCCGAGAGGACTGCACTTAGCAGAGTGCACACGGCGCAAGGTAGAGTCTCGCGGGGAGCGGCCTATGTGACAAAGTACCTGAGGCTGGGGAAAGGCTGCCCTGTCGGAGCAGAGCAAAAGTCGGCACAGCTCACATACGACAGAAAGACTTGTTTCTCAATTCTTAGCAAAAGTGTACTCTTTTAGGAGCAACTCGCTCTTTATTTTTTTACCTGTTGGGGAAGGTATAGTGAAGTATTTACAGAATTTACATATTTCTTAATGCTTTGTATACTTTAGTTATGTCATTTAATATTAAAACCTGTATAACTTAGTAGACTAAATTACCTTAAAGAGTACAGATAGAAAATGGCAGAAGTAAAATTCTGACTTGACACCACATATACCATGGAAGCTTTGTAACTTTATTAGCACTGTGTATCTCCCACGATTTCGTTGTGGTCCCTAGGGTCATAAGAAAAACTGTCTGTTGAATCTTATAAGAAAAATGGAGATGCTTTGTCAGTGAGCTAACCATTTTTTCCAACTTGAAATGCATAGAATATTATTTTATTGTGCTGGTGGATTCAATCATATTTGTTAGTGCCGTAAATAATGTAGATCCATATATTCACAACTAGGACTGCTCTGAGCAGGCTGAGAAAGTGCAGAGTGAGTGAGTGTGAATTGTTCGAGCTTAATAGTTGTAATTTAGCAAAGTTTTGTTTCCTTTTTTTGATGAACCACTTGCTCTATTTTTCTTCACTTAGGCAACTTAAAATACTCAGAAAAAATTACAAAACATCCTTTTTTTGTATCAGGAATCGAACTCAGGACCTTGCACTTGCCACACAGGTGCTTGTGCTGCTGAGCTGTATCCCCAGCAAGACATCCTTATAAAGTTATTTAATCATTGTGAGGCATGCCATGAATAACTTCATAGAAGCATAGAAAATTGGTTTGGAGGAGAACATGGAAGAAAGAATAAAAAAGATTTTTTTTTTTTATAATTATGCCATCAGGAAGATGTGGCAATATATGCCTTAGAATAAAAAGGCCTGTTAGCAGAGGGCTGTGTATTGGAAAGATCAGGAAAACTGAAACTAGCTTTGGGGATATTTTTAAGCAAAAAGGAAATAGTGAAAATAGAGGGGATAAATACTGCCAGGGAGGTAGAAGCATAGCAAAGGCACGTTGAGTTCTTTTCTTTTCTTCTTATCACTGCAAATATTATCTCTTTGATTAAAAAACTGTAACAACTTCACGCCCAAGTTGATCAGTGTACACACTGTTCTTTAAATGAGAACATAAGTATTTGGGACTGACGAGACTCAAAGAAGGACTAATTCTAGTTACTGAGGCAGATAAAGCGCGTGATTATGTCACAAGTTTGAAGGCCTTCCCAGGTGATTCTGATGAGCAGTCGCTTTAGGAGAGCATGTCGTGGTGAAACACACATGCAAAAACTCTGCTTCAGGGAAGTCAGCAGGAAACTCTGAAACCTGGATCTATAGAGAGCTCTCAGGCTTGAACCTACTGTGAAGTGTGGGTTAGGAACTAGCTCAGTAAACATTCGTTATCAGCCTGGAATCCCATTATCCAGAAGAAGTGAATTCCTCTTCCAAGGAGAACATTTTAATGCTTAGTAGAATCAAGTCAAAACATGACCGGGTACTGTGAGAATGCGCAGGTCTGGTGAAGTTATGTGTCTTCTTGCTAGTGTGACATACAGAAGAATACCGAGTGAGAATTATCTTCCCTAAATATATCGTGTGCAGTTTCTGATGCACATAACTGAAATACTTCCTTTTCCTTTTCAGAAAGCTGTACGTGATGGCATCTGTGTTTTTCTGTCTGCTCCTCTCTGGATTGGCTGTGTTTTTCCTTTTCCCTCGATCTATTGATGTGAAATACATTGGTGTAAAATCAGCATATGTCAGTTATGATGATCAAAAGAGAACAATATATTTAAATATTACAGTAAGTACAAATTTATGTTGAAAATCTTCTGTTTCATCCTTTATCCTACTGAGCAGCACCTTTATCCTGGGTGAGAGCATGTTTGTTAAAAATAATGCCGTCTGCTTTGCTATCTCTGTCTTTGCTCTGTGGATCCTTCTCTGCCATTTCTGGTTTTGCTGAAAATGGCAAATAATAAATACTGGCAGTTCATACATAGAATTATTTAACAGCTGAAGATTTGTTTAGTAAGATAAAATAAACATTTTCTGGAAAAGAAAAAGTATTACAATCAAATTCTTCGGCATTTGACTGAATAACCCCTAGCAAGGCGTGCTCACATGTGATTCAGTAGAAGTTACTTATATATGTAACATTTGACTTCCTTGCATTTTGTGAAATACAGTTTTTGCCATGCTTAGCAGGCCAGTCCTTTATGCTGTTTAATTTTTTTAATTTTTTTTTTTTTTTTCTGGTACTAGGAATCAAACCCACAACCTTGCACTTGCCAGGCAGGTGCTGTGCCGCTGAGCTAAATCCCCAGCCCCCTATGCTGTTTAAATATGAAGTAAAAATGATTGTTTGATTTTTGTCTTATAAATTAGTAGATATGAAAATGTCCTCTGTGTTTCCCTGGACAGTATTTTTTAAAAAGATCGTGCAACCACCCAACTCCTAAAAACAATAAACAAAATCCCAAAGAACATTTTCTACTACTTTTTACACATACATGTACACACAGAAACACACACACATGTATGTATCATATATATATTAATTATGGCTTGTATCTAGATGTTCCCGAGAGCCTCATGCACTCATACATGGGGAGTTTTGGCTGGATTAGGATGTGATACTGAGATTAAGGGCATAATGCTGGGATTAAGGGGATGGATGAAGGAAGACGCATCCTGGATGTGGCTGGTACCATCCAAAAGGCTGTAACCTGGATGGGGTGAAAGGGAGGAAGCGGGCTTCCTGGTGCTTGCTGTCTTCCGGTCTGCCATACCATGGAGTATTTCTCTGTAATACTACTCTGCCATGCCATCCTGCTTTGGAAATACCTAAGGACTGAAACCTCTAGAAATTGTGAACTGAAATAAACCTTTCCCTCCTTTAGCTGTTGGGTGTCAGATATTTTATCTCAGCAATGAGAAAAGTAACTAAGACATGAGTCACGCCGTTCACAGTCACGTATGGCTTCAGGCCCAAGGAGTGTCTGTGGGAGTGTTCTGTTTGGAACAGTGTGGACTTAGCTGGTTCCTTTGCATAAACGAATGGCTAAAGTAGAGGCGGGGATTCCTGCGGTGGTGGTTGGGAGCAAATAGCTCCAAAGGGATGGACAGTGACGTGGAAGACTAGGTTCCAGTGGGATCACTACTTGATTACAGAAAAAAGAGCTCCCAAGGGATGGACAGTGACGTGGAAGACTAGGTTCCAGTGGGATCACTACTTGATTACAGAAAAAAGAGCTCCCATGGATCCAATTTTTCTCATTGCTTACTGTCAGAGTTGATAACATAAGGGCTTAAAAAAAAAAACTAGAAACATCATTCACAATAGAATTGTGACTAAAATATACCAGTGTTAATTGTAGCACTGTGAATAAAACAGCATAACACCATGCTAATTTTAAATAATTTCATATGGCCATGGAATTATCTTTTAGTATTTTCCCACTTTAACACCTCCGTAGAACAAGGAAGATCGTTTCCTTTCTGTTTCGTGTTTACAGCAATGGCCAGACTCTTTTGGCTTGCCTGAAAGTTCGCTGTAGTGTCCACTACTGTAAATATGTAGTAATTACTATTGGAAAGACATGTGGTTTCCTTCTATATAGTGTATGTAAATACACATTTCAGATCTTATTTTAGGTAATCATGTAGGAATTCTCGTGTCTTAGTCACCTTTTCATCCTGAGACACGTCATACCCGACACAACAACTTAAAGGAGGAGAGGTTTGTTTTGCCTCGCATTGACAGTCTGTGGTTGGCAGGCTCCAGGCAGGACGGCATGGCAAAGGTCACAGCAGAGGGGAGCTGCTCATGGCACGCTGGGTGCGAGACAGAGTCAGGGTGGGAGCCCGGGAGGGAGATGCGGTCTTCCTGGTCCCACACGTAACCTGCCTTCTCCAGTCAGTCTCCACTCCACAGTATAACGTTTAGCTATAAATTCATCAGTAGACTAACCACAGGTAAGTATCATACCCCCATGACCCATTCATCTCCCCAAACCCTCTCCTGTGAGTGCGTGAGGCTTTGAGGGGACATCTAAATGTAAAACTTAACTTTCTGCCCCCGGCCCCTGCTGAGCTCATGAACATCCCTTTGTATAAAATGCATTTAGTTCATCTGCAACAGTTGCCAGAGTCCTAACAATCCCAAGTCCAAAGTTTTCTCTGCGACTTAAGGCAGATTCTTAGCAAAGTACATGTGATTTATCTCTCAGAGTCATCAAAGTCCTAATGATTTCAGCACTGATAAAAAATCCAAAGTCTTCTCTGAGACTTGGCAGACTCTTAGCTGTGCACCTCTGGAAAATAAAAAAACAGTTAAACGCTGCTGACATACAATGGCAAAAGGTAAACCACTCCCGTTCTGAAAGGGAGGAGTTTGGGGATAGAAACCAGAGGAACCACAGTAAGATCAAAGCCCAACAGAGCAAATATTAAATGCCAGAGTTCCATGTCTAGCACCCAGGGCAAGTTGAGACAGTGAGATGTGACACTCCAATTTGCAGCAGTGAGATTTCTCCTAGAGTGGCTCCACCTCAACAGTGTTAACTATGGTTGTAGCCCTTATGACTTCTCTTTTAGACTAGCTTTGCTCACTCTTTGTAGCTTTCCTGAGAGTCCATATTCCTGGGTTTTCCAAGTTTCTGGAGTCTCCACTACACTTTTAGTTTTACTCTCACAGCTTTATGCACTGCCCTCTCAGACACACAGCCTGGCCTCCCAGGCCTTGTGAAATCTGGGTGGAAGCCTCCATGGCCTCATAACTCTTACAGTTTGCATGCACATAAAACTAGCACCTAATGAATGACTGCAAGGTCTGCTGACACACAGAGTAACAGCCAGCCCCTTTCACGTCTTGCCATAGTCAGCTGGCTCCAAGGCAGGACAGTGTGATGCAGAGGCGTGGCAGAGGAGGACCCGCTCATGATGTATTGACAAAGCAGCAGCGAAGGGTCAAGGAAGGACACAGGAAGGGAGACGGAAACTTCAGGTCCAGTGACACACCTTGTCCAGCCAGCCTCCACTGCAACAGCAGGTCAGCCGTAATGCCCCTGAAGTGGAGTCACCTTCGGAAGGTCTCACCTGTGGTCCAGCAAGGCTTTAGGGAGCGTGTAGATATAACCATCCCGTTTGCAGATACTGTCTCCTGATAATGACTAAGCATTAGATAAGAAGTGGGAATTGCTATTTTGGTGGACATCAGACTTCACTAGCGGGTGTTGAGATAAGAGGCTAGCAAGATGATAGACGATAGGTTGTCTAACGATAGTGGAAAAGTAGAATAATGTTGCACATTTCTTAAAATGAGTAGTATTCATTAATGCTACTTTTCCTGTTTTAGTAAATTAGAATAGAGAAAAAGACTAATTTCTCCTGCTTCACACAAATAGCACAGATGACTTCTGTGAGCCTGCAGAATCTTGTGTGAGGCTTTCTCCCCAGCAGTAAGCAGGCAGGCAGTTCCGTAGGGGACACCAGCTAGGTGGACTGCCCCACTTCAGCCGGGGGCAAGTCCAAGCCTCCAGAGCTTCTGAGAAACTGTCACTTCGAATTCTCATACCCTCTTTAGATTTAATTAATTTCCTAGGGCAGCTCACAGAATTCAGGAAAACAATATGCTTAAATTTACTGATTCGTTATGGAAGATACTTTAAAAGGTACAGATAGGTGAGCATGGTGCCAGGCACCTGTAATTCCAGCTACTTGAGAAGATAAGACAGGAAAATTGTGAGTTCCAGCCCCTTCCAGGCAACTAAGCAAAACCCTGTCTGAAAAACCAACCAACAAACAACACAGAATGTAAATAAACTGCCAGATGGTGAGATACATAAGGCAAGGTCCAGGATGGTGCAGAGCACAGGCCGCTCTGTCCCTGTGGAGTTGGGAATTCCTCCCTCCTGGTACTTGGATGAGTTCTTGTTTACCTTCCTGTCTGTGCAGGAGCACCTGGAGCCCTGTCCTTTTAGAATTTTATGCTGACTTCATTGCAGATTCATGCTGAAAGCGTAGATATAACTGTGATTAAATGCAAAGAGGGTATGAGCTAATGAAAATAAATTATGTATGAGAATTCAATAAGGGCTTCCTGTTCAGATTCTTTAGGACACATTTTTGAAAGTAAATTTGTCTATTCAAGATCACAGATAGATGAATGCCTTTGATAATCTTTATTTTAAAGTTTATAATTGTAGTCCCTTTTTATTTATAAATTAAATGGACTCTCACTGGTTTGTGCAACCAAGACTAGTCCTTTAGTACTAAATTTCCACTTATCCTTTTTTTGTCTTTGTTAATGTTTATCTTCATGTTTTTTCTCTCAATATATTTTTTTTCTAATTCTCATGGGTATTTTTTCTCACTGTTTTGCATCATTGCTCACTTTAATGTTCTAATGAGAATTATCGGTACGTCAAACGAAAAGAAAAAGCGTAAACCAGCAGTAATTTGTGTATATGGAAGATTCCAGAATTCTCCTAAACTGAATGACTTGGTCTGCATTGAGAGATCCATTGATCTCAAAGTATTAACCTCTTTCCTGTTGGGTCTGGAAATGAAATCAAGATGATTAACAACCTAATAAGTAAAATGTGTGTTAAATGAAGACTGTTTCTGCTGTGGCATAGAATCTTTTAAAAGTGTCTTCATGTTTATAATTAGAAGTGAGCGCACACGTGCAATTGTGGTCACTGTCTAGCCCCCTTCTTACTAAACTGTTTTCTCTCTACTCACCCCCTACTAGATCTTTTGCGTCTTTCTTTATATTCATATTTCACTATAGAGATACATTTACATGTTAAATTTTAAAAGTTTAAAATTTAAAAATTGTTAACTCTGTTCTTTATTTTTCTTCATTTTTCTTACCACATATTGACCAGTGCGTAAGGATCCCATTTACTGTGGGAGCTGGTGCACGTGCAGAGCACACCTTAACCCTTTCCTGTCCCCGGCCCGCACAGCCCTCCCCGCTCCTTTCGGATCCTGGTGAACTTCCCATTGCAAAAGCTCTATTTCCATCTTTTCTTTCACTCTTTTTACTGCTGTTTCTCTCCCCTCCTCCCCGCTCCCTCCATCTCTTGTTCTCCTTTCCATTTCAAAAAAACCTCCCTGCTTCCTATTACTTAAGATTTTGGTCTTTTTTTGTATTTTGGGTTACTCATATAAGAGAAACCATGCAATAGTTAAGCTTTCATGTCTGATTTATATCACATAATATTATGGTCTGAAGTGCATTTGTTTACCTGTAAATGCCCTCGAGTTTATCCTTCTTTACGGCAGAGTAGTATTCCATTTGGTATAAATACCGTGTCTTTTATCCATTCATCTAGTGATAGGCATATTATAAATTGTGCTGCTATAAACATGGGTATGCCTCTGTCACTGTAATATGATGACTTTAACTCTTTTGAGAAGATACCTAGAAAGGGAATAGTTGGGTCAAATGGAATTGCTAGTTAATTTTTTTTGAAGAATCTCCATGCTGATTTCCATAGTGTTTTACTGGTTGACATTCCTACCAGCAGTGTAGAAGGCTCCTTTTCCCCTGCGGCTGTGTCAGCATTTGCTATTACTTGATTTCTTGATGATAGCTGTTCCTTCTGGGTTAAGATACCCCAGTATTGTTTTAATTTGTACTTCTCTAATGGCCGGAGATATTGAACATTTTTCCATGTATTTATTTGCAGTTCTTTTTCTAAGAAGTGTCTTCTCCTGTTACTTGCCCATTTTTCATTGGGCAACCCTTTTATTGGGAGGGGCTTGTTTTTTGAGTTCTTTGTTTGTTACCAGTGTTAGTCTTGTGCAAGGCATGGCTGTCTGTTCGCTCAGTTGTTTCTGTTGCTTTTGAATTTGCTGTGACTCCATTTGTTGATTCTTAGTACTATTTCTGGTGCCACTGAGTTTTACTCAGAAAGTCCTTGTCTATACCTATGTCTTCATTTTACCTATTTTATCCCCCAGCAGGTTGTTTATTTAACACTTGGATCTTTGATCTATTCTGATTTTGTTTTAGCACATAGTGAGGTAGGTGTCGAGACTCAATCTTCTCCGTGTGGATAGCCAGTTTTCCCAGCACCGTGTATTAAAGGCGCTTTCTTCTCTCTGCTGTGTTTTTGGCCCCTTTGCCAGAGATCAAAGATCTGTGTGTTCTTAGGGTTGTTTCTGCTCCCTGTGTTCTGTCCCGTGCATGTTTTTGTGCCAGCCCCATGCTGTTTTTATCACTGGGGCTTTGTAGTACAGCTTCAAATCTGGTGTTGTGATGCCTCCTGCTTTAGTTTTGTTATCAAGGATTGATTTTAAGGATTGATTTTGCTCTTCTGCATTGCTTCTCATTCCATGTGAATTTCAGGATTGTTTTCCCTAATTCTCTGAGTAACGCCATTAGTATTTTGATTGCAACTATATTAAATTTGTATGTAATACTGGATGTACAGTTTAGCATTTTGAATGTATTGGTTCTGTCAGTCCAGGTACAGGATAATCTGAGGTCCTCTTCTGTGTCCTTTTTTAGAGTGGTATAATTTTTGTGGTAGAGATCCTTCACTTTCTTGGTGTGGTTAATTCCCAAGTATTTAATTTTTCTTTTTTGGTGTGGGGGGGTTCTTTTTTCCGGTACTGGGAACTGAACTCACAACCTTGCGCTTGCCAGGCAGGCACTGTGCCGCTGAGCTAAATCCCCAGCCCCGATTTTTTCTTGATGCTATGGTAAATGGTATTGTTTCCCTAATTATTTTTTCTCAGTGTATAGGAGGAATACTACTGATTTTTATATATTGATTTAGTATCCTCTACACTTCTGAATTCAATTTTGATATATAATTTTGTATCCTGCTAGAAGAATTAATTTGGTTAATTCTTAGAATGTTTTGGTGGGAGGTTATAGGTCTTGTATGAACATGAGTATGTCATCTGCAAATAGTGATGCTTTGACTTCTTCCTTTCCTACAGATGCCCGTTTTATTTCTTTCTCTCCTGATTGCACTGGCTAGTGTTTTCAGAACTGTGTTGAACAGGAGAGGTGATAGTAGACATCCTGGTCTTATTCCTGATTTTAGGGGAAAAGCTTTCGTTTTTCCCCCATTTAATATGTTGGCTGTTGGTCTGCCATAAATTGGCTTTTATCAAATTGAGATAAGGTCCTTCTCTACCTATTTTCTTCAGGATTTTTGTCATGAATGGATGTTGGATCTTGTCAAAGCCTTTTTCTGTGTCTATTGAGAGGATCATGTTACTAAAAAAATTACATGAATTTTTTATAAGATATGCCTTGAACTTTTGTTGACTAAAGTCATAGTTATATTTTCTCATATTATTTTATTCTTGTACTATATATTTTCTTTTTTATTGTATTTTTATTTTAAAGAGAATTTAAAAAGTTAAAAATGATACAGAATTTCAAAACAAGATGATAGGAAATCAACAATGGTTGTTACATTGCATATTCTTATCTTCAAAGTAGTTGTCCAGCTTACCAGAGTACTATATAATTTTTCTATTTTTTAATTTTGACTTGTGTATTTCTCATAAGCATAGTGCTAATGCATAAGACCAAATTATCAGTTTATTTAATGTTCTTTGACATTGGTGGTAATGTTTTTCTTCCTCTTAATAAATGAAAAACAGTCACATCTAGAGTCACTTTGTTGATCTTGAATATACAGTAGGTTTGTGCACTTATTCACAGATAACTCGCACATTTTCCATCTTGCTCTTGCAGAACACCCTGAATATAACAAACAATAACTATTATTCTGTTGAAGTTGAAAACATCACGGCTCAAGTTCAGTTTTCAAAAACCGTTATCGGAAAGGCGCGCTTAAACAACATAACCAACATTGGGCCACTCGACATGAAGCAGGTAGGTCTGTCAGGAAATTCACTGGCTGAGGTAGACAGGTTTCAACCTTGTGTATCACATAATTCGAAGGAGGTGGGTTTTCTCAAAATTTGATTTTGAAATATGTCCCATACATGTATAAAATGAAATCTTAGAATCAAGAGTCTAAAGGGAGAGATATCTAATTCTTCGAAATTTTGGTGTGTAACTGAAGTATTTGATAGTTTGATCCTGTAACCTTTTTTTTGCATTTCAGATTGATTATACAGTACCTACTGTAATAGCAGAGGAAATGAGTTATATGTTGTAAGTTCTGACTTTATTAACCTTATCATTAATAATAATGAGAATGTTCTTCCCTTTTTAAGAATTTGCAGTCTTACTGGTTAAAAAGACCACAGTTTCAAATTCATTCTGGCTTCTGGTCTATTTTTTCCTTCCCTTTCTCAACATTTGTATCATTTAGGTGCATGTACCTTAAATTTCCTTATTTTTGGCAATAGGATTATGTATACCATGTTACATTTTATTTTTAGTTACTGTGTAAAAGAAATGTCTATTCTTATAGTCTTGATGTTCTAGTGTAAGAGGGCTAGAAATGCTAATAATGTATAATACTTTATTATTGCATTCTGAAGCTTTAAATTTGGGCCTAAATTATTGGCTCTTAATAATTATAAATTTTATTGTCTTCTGTCAAAATATATGTATGGAATTTCTAAGCGTGGATATAGAATTTCTTGATAACCAACACAGGGGTAGCTAAAATTTTAAAAGGTAAGCAAAATGTAAAAGTAATTTGTAGCACACTTTAAAACAGCTCTATAGCTCCAGTGATATGATGTGTGAGTATTTTTAGAATAAGAAGTCATGGCTGTATCCGTCATTACTTGGAGCATTCCATGCTCAGCCAATAAATGCTTCCTTATAGCATCTCTATAAACTTTAACATAGTAGGATTTTAAGTGTATAATATAATAACTTGTACTTATTCACATTTTCACTTAACAGTGATTTTTGTACACTGATATCCATCAAAGTACACAACATAGTACTCATGATGCAGTAAGTATTAATTTTTTTCAAAAATATTTCCTGTTAAAATTTCAGAATTATGATACTGGCTTGTAATTTATACAGCATCTTTACAAATGCTACCTCAACTGGACTTTAAGCCTTCCCAGAATGCTATGAACAGAGTAACTATCACCCCTCTCAACAAATTGGCAGACGGCCACTCAGAGTGGTGCAGGGTGACACGGCTGCTGGGTAGTGAATGTGAGCATTGTAAGAGCTGAGGAGAAGGCAGGGTTGGAGCAGAGAACACCGAGCCCAGCACCCACTTCCTCGCTCCCTCGGTACACAGTCCCAGCAGGAATCAGAAGTAGTGATGCTGGCTTATCAAGTGTGTGTCATCTAAGCCAATAAAAGATAGTTGGTTATAACTTTGGTATTTTACCCATTGGGCTTTACATCTGATTGAGCCTCTTCATGATGAGGGAGGTGCATGATTTATTTTTAAGCGTGTAATGACTTTTAATTTTTAAACTAAAAATAACTTTAAATTACAATTGTTGTTTATAATTATTTGGCTAGGCCGCACTGCTCTGGCATCTTTCTGTGTGGTAAAGTATCCGCTAAGCGGCCTTTGTCTGCAATATTAAGTTATCATTAATAAAGTATCACTCCCTGGAGCGGATTTTTATGTGTAGAAGTTGTCTCACTATAGAAGCACTTTCCACATAGCTGTGAAACATTTCTCTCCATTCATTTCATTTTCAGAGTTACCGTGACAACAACGTACTTTGGCCACTCTGAGCAGATATCCCAGGAAAGGTACCAGTATGTGGACTGTGGAAGAAACACCACTTACCAGTTGGGGCAGTCCGAATATCTGAATGTCCTTCAGCCACAACAGTAAAGACGGAAGGAGACGCACCGAGAGAAGATGAAATGCCTGTAAATATTGTCTGAACTCTCAAGGAGGTACTTCCTAGTAGGACATCTTTAATTGAACAAACTTAAAGTTTATACTTCTAATTTAAGCGTTTGGTTACAAGTGTGTGGACCTGAAATCATTGTAACTTCCCATTCTGTGTTAATAATGTATTTGTACCAGGATCTTGTACTTAAATATAAATTTACCAGTCCGTTCTCTTCTCCCCTTCACATCCCTAGACGGAAAAACTGAGACTTCCCCAATAGTGTAATAAAGACGCCTGCCTGGCAAGCGCAAGGTCGTGAGTTCGGTTCCCGGTACCGGAGGAAAAAAAAAAAAAAAACCAATAGTGTAATAAAGAGTTATTTGAAAGATACAGTTTCAGTCGGTAGCTCAACTGACAACATAACTGTAGTAAGAAACACAGTCTGATGAACTTAGTTTCTGATTTTTTTTAATGAAAAATTAAGGAAAGCCTATTCACGGGAAACTTTCGAAAACTAACCTCTTTCTGTGATTTATAAATGCCCATGGTTAGTTACATGGTAGTGCTGTGTTTCAACTACAATATTTTAGCTTTTAGCCAAGTATTTTTAGCTTTTAATTTGTTGAAATTCTCATTTGCATGTTTTTATTTTATTTCAAGCTATTCAGTGCATAATACTTACCAACCACCTGAAAACTTCTAAAAACTCTGAATAATGTTTCGTGTTTATTTCCACAGTACTTATCATTTTGTGAAATTCTCGTGTGATCTTCAGACATAATCCTTTAATATACAGTATTGTAAATAAACTCTGCATGGCTTTTATACAGCTTTGATAAATGTCAAAGTGGAACAGATTCAAAAGTAAAGCAAGTAGCTCATAAAAATGAATAAAAAAGGAAAATGCAGTTCAGAAACTGATTGTGACTAGGTATCATTTTATGCTAGACCTGGCATAAAATAGATTGGAAATGAAATATTTTTATGCTTCACTTTTTTCATGTTGCTTTCATATTAAAAATTGGTTTAGACATTTTTCACATCTGCTAGGTACTTGATCATCAATTTTATGAATATTTTAGAGGAAAAAATTATTTCTTTGATAGAAATTATTCAAAAAAACCCACCATTAAGTAATGGTGAGTATATTTTAAAAAAACCTGTGCTATGCTTTTAAAATTTTAGTTATGTTGTATATCGCATGACTGTGATGCTTGTAGGGTTAAATTTTTAAAGATTTCTACTTTTGTTTTTATTTAAAATTATTTTCAGGTGTAAATTATTGACTTACTCACATTGCTATTTTATATTTTCAACATTGTTTTCGAGTTGATCCTTTCGCCTTTCACTTACTAACTTCTAAGAACCTTTTAAATACATACTACCAAGCATAGGCGCTCAGTATGATACAAAAAAAAAAATGAGCTGAGGTTCATTTCTTTCTGTTCCCTGAGGACAGAAGTCAGGTCTCCTCCTGTTCACCCCTCAGTTCCTAACTTACATGAAAACATACCCTGTTCTCTCAGTTGTAAAACATAAATTTTAATGGTTTAATTCTGATCTTTAAACACTCAGGCATCCAGTTAGTTTTCATAGCACTTTTCCAGGTTTTCCTGAGTGGAAATTGTGAGTGGAACGTGCTTTCTTCAAATTGCGTACTCTTTGCTTGCTCCGTGGCTGATGTAGCCGTCCGTGCCGTGAAATCAGATGGCCCCTGCAAACCCATCAGGACGCGCGCACCAGCCCGGGCTCCGTGTCCGGCTCCTTCTGCCGCGGCTGCTGGGGACTCCCGGCCTCGGAGCTGTGCGCGTCTCGATATACTGGTTGCGTTCATGTTTTTCAGATAGTTCTCATTGCGTTGTCTCTCATTCCCTCATTTCTGTGTGACTCACGTGTGTGAGTGATTTAGATCCCCGTTTTTCCTAGTCCCGTGACTTCTAAACATCTTTTAAAATTTTAATGAGTGCCCGCTCGCAGTCCATGTTGATCCCATCGGCGTAGGGAGGCGGCGGGTGTGCGCAGCGCGTCCTAGTTTGCACCTGCCGCACTCGCGTCTGTCCCTCTCTTGGTCCTCTTCCCGTCTGCAAAAGGTCTGTCTCCCTCCTGCCTGTTACCTTTCATTTTGCGCTTTAAATTATTTGCACTTAGGGTTCCTGTGACTTCCAAAATCACGCGTTTCTGCCGCAGAGCTTCCACCTGGATTGCTCGTACCTGACCTTCCAGTGGGGCTGCGCGCCTGCCCCGTGCGCTAGAGATGTAGTGTTTCGGTGGCTCTGTGCGAAAAGCCGAAATGTTAAAGAAATTTTACTCTGTTTGGTTCCCGCTGTCTTCCTGTCCCATTAACATCAAAATGGACGTTTATTTCTTTAAAATCGTCCTTTGGAGAAGCCTCATAGCATAATCAGTGCTTATTGTCCTACGTTGTATGTTTTAACCCTGGCAGGTCATGCAGTGTAAATTAAAAAGAGCTTTCTGTTGGGCTGTGGCCCTCTCGTCTGCCGAGAGCACGAGCCTCCTGAAGGAGCGGGAAACATTTGCTTGTAATGGTTCAACTTCCAGCCTGTCTTTGTCACTCTTTAAATTGAAACTCTTTGTTAAATTTGGTTTCAACAGAGATTGAGCCAGAAAACACTAGAATTTAGAACAAGTAAAAATCCAGTGAAGAGAAATAAAGATTGCCTACTGTAAGAGATAATTAAATAACTGCCAGAATAAACCTAGAACGAAACAGGCTGTGATTAATAAAACTATAAAGACACATTTTGGAGAAGTAAATGTATAGCCTCAGAAAAACCCTAGAAAGAATAAATGAAGTCTTAACTTTTTCCTAGGTGCCAGTGTGGTTTCCTGCATAGGAAATGGGTAGGTGTTAATTTATTAATTTATTTTACTTTTCTGTTTTTTTGGTTTTTCTGGTACCGGGAATCGAACTCACGACCTCGTGCCTGCCAGGCAGGCGCTGTGCCGCTGAGCTAAATCCCCAGCCGCTATTAATTTATTTTTACAACTAGTAGCAGACCTTACCCAGGGATAATGGAAGAATATTGCAACATTTTTCTGATGCTTTCACGTGTTACTTTGACTTTTCATCTTAATAGCCTGGTCATTCTAACAAAATTCAACCCTTACAACAAGCCTCTGTGTGTGGGTCTTATTTACGTAGCAAATTTTAGCTCTTCCACATGCTTTTCTTACATAATTTCCTGAAGAAGCGGTCACAGGACCCTCATCTTCTAGAAGCAGAAAGAGAAGTGTAGAGACGCTGAGGGCCGTGCCTTAAGATCACATAGTTAGTAAGTAGTTTCCACTGGGGCCCAGAGCTTGTTTCTCCTTCTTTCAGATCCTTCTGTCACTTCAGAAGTTCTTTGGAAAGCCCTGCTGACTCAGGATAATGTGATTAAAACTTAGAGGGAAAATTCACGTGGTAATAGTGACAGTGGAAACAGCACCGATGCATTCAGGTGGTGGTAGTTTTGCATTCTATCTGAAATATTTCAAACGGAGAGCATGCATTTGTGGAATAATTTGGAATGTAATCTACAGCTTAATTTTTCATTAAGATTTAGTACACTGATAATTTCAATAGAGAGAAAATAATGTCAGAGTAAGTATTTTAAGCAATAGAGATTATTATATTTAAGATTGAAATGGAGCAGTATGGAAATACTGGATATTAGAAAAGATATTTGAAACCGACAAAGGACCATCTACCAGCATGTACTGTGGTTTATTCAATGCTCAAATGGTTAGTTTCGTTGGTGTGCAGTTTTTCTGTGCCTTTTCTGTTTGCTGAGACTAATGAGATAACAGTTCCTCAAAAAATTCACTAGAAGAAAATATTATTTCAGATCTTCTGGTGTGTAGTTTGGAAGTGCCAGTGCAGTGTGAGAAAGGTAGGAGGTGACTATCAAAACATTAAAAGTAAACTATTAGGAGATTTGAAACTTTAGCCTAATAAGTTCTTTGTGTCTTCTTAGCCTTATTATTTTGGACAGCATGTCACTGACTTTTGCCCCATTTTGTGTGTTCTTAAAGTGCTTAGAATAAACATTTCTTTATATAATGATTATTTCTCATTCAAGAAAGTTCTTTCAGTTAAATACTTGTTAAGAGCTGTTTTTAAGTTTCTGAATATCATCTTTGATATGTGGTATAAATTGAATTTCAAGTTACTACTTTTTAAGCAAAAGTTTACTTGCCATGTCATCGTCAGGGAATAATTTTTAGCTCACAAAATCTGGAAGCAGCTACTACTAAGAAAAATTCACTTTATTTCTGTTATTTTTTTGTAGAATCAGATTTTAAATGAGAAGTTTATCTGAAACTATTTTATTTTAAGGAACGAATAGTATTTGAGATGGTGAGGTAAAAAGACTTAAGCATTATTCTTTAAAATTCTTATTTTTACATTGTAACAAAATAGACTTGTGATCCACATGTATCAAAAGTTGAACTTCTACATACCAGATCTAATATCAAAGTAAAAATTTTCACTTTGTCAGCTGAAATTTGTGATTAGAATTGCCATTTGTGTGTATTTCTTTGTTTAGAAAACAAATTCATACTGGATTTTTAAAATTTACCCTTAATTTTGATAAAGTCATGTGATACAAAGTTACTATACAGGAAAAAAATAGTACTTTCCATTTTTTTAAACTACTAAGGTGATTGTGTTTGTAGTTCTTTTTAAACACATTTAGCACAGACTCTAAATTGAATTACATAATATAGTATTATATTAGACCTAAACTGTCATACATTAATTTAATAAATATATATCAAGTTTTTCATAGCTAAATCTCTTTTTAGAAGGACCATGCTGCCTTCTGTTTAATTATATTAATTGAAATGTGTTTAAGAGAAATGTTTTCAGCATATTTTGTATACTAAAAAAAGGATTAGTATTGGGCCAGTGGCCCAAAAGGTAATATTGCTACCGTGTAGACTATTACAGTTCAAATTGCCCCTCCTCCCTCCAGGATTTTGAAACTAGAAATCTGGGAGATGCTGTATCAACTATAGTTGGGTGAATCTAAGTGCTCTGCGTATCGTTCATCTTTTAATTATTGTATGAGGTGGAAAAAAATGCCATATTAAAGAAGATACAGAACTTCATTATGTAATAGTTGGTTGTAGGCATAACAGCAATCCATGTCTATGTATTTTGTCTTATATTTTCTTTTAGCAAACTAAAAAAGATTCTGGAGGATTATTTCAAGCTAGGTATGATGGCACATTCCTGTACTCCCAGCACTTGGGAGGTCGAAGCAGGAAAATCATGAGTTTGAGGCCAGCCTGGGCTACATAGAGAGCTCAGGGTCATCCTGGAGTACATAGTAAGACCCTGTCCCAAAAGATTTGGAGTGCTTGCTAGTTGGCGTAACCCACTTGGTCAGATATTTGAATAACTGTACCATTACACTCTCACCCTCAGTTGTAACTGTGGAATGTAGAATGTGAAGATATATTTGGCACTTGTATTTTGCTTGTATTATGTAGTGGCCTTCGTCACGGCACATTTATTAAATTCACTGATTGAGCGATTCTGTAATTATAACTCTTACTGGTCACATAAAAAAAAAAATGATAGTAGCAAATAAATAGAAGTACCCCCAAGTGCTATTTTTTTAATTCAGTTGTAACTGTCACTCTCGTAATTGTGTCTGACAAAATCAAATTTGTAAAACTTTTAGCATGAAAAATAAAATTTGTATCTGTCAAGTGTGTTGTTTATGCTTTCGAAATTCTCATGACCTAAACAGATCCGTGCAGATGCTGAAACCCTTTAGCTTTAAGCTCTCAGAGCCTTGTCACCTTTCCCTGAGCTGTGTTTAGTCCCCTCTCGCGTAGCTTCTCGTTATTAATTTGTCTCACTCCCTTTTTACTGAAAAGAGCCTGAGTCCTTACTCTCATATTGAAAACCTTACACCATCCAGCCACAACCTACACGCACAATCTCGTTTCTGACAGTACTGTGCACAGCCCACGTCCCAGTCAGAGCGACATGGTTGCCACTCCTTAGAAACGGTCCTTTCCTTAACCACCTTTCTTACTCTGTAGTGTTTCAGTGTGTTCCTGCCTGCTGGAACCACCCGAGGTATATTCACGACGGCCCCATGGGCAGCTTGTAACCCACTGGTAGCGAAAATGAATCTTAGCGTTTTTATCAGCCTTTTCACTAATAAAGTTAATAAAAAGCTGCTTGGTGGAACAGTCGCACATGCACCACCAGTGGCTTAGGCCTTGTCTCAAATAAATGAATAAATAGATAATTTTTTAAACCAAAAAAGACTGGGGTGTAGCTCAGTGTGAAGGCCGTGGGCTCAGTCCTCAGTGACGCTGAAGGGGAAGCAGCAGCTTTAATCTAGCTGAAATTGCAAACAGACCAATCCTCCCTTGGTTCATATTTACAAAAACAGAAAACAACTTGGATCACTTTTCAAAAACGCTTATGCTGCAAATAAAATTGAACCCCAGCCAATTATAAATAGCCAACTAACGTGGTTGTGTAACTTGGGACTTTCTAAAAACATAGCAGACAAAATCCTCGTTTCACTTGTGCATTTTCTCAGTCAGTACTTCTGGCTTTGGTCGTCAGCGTATTCTTTCAGTCTTCTGTTTCCAAGTCCATGAATTCTTCCTTACTCCAACTGTAAAACGCTAATGTGCCTCAGATTTTTGCTTAACAAGTCTCAACTTGCACGGGAAGTCTGGTGGCTACAGATAAAGCGCCACCACTCTTATCCCTTGGACCTTTTTAGTACTGTAGTGGAGAACAGAGCTGAAGTGTAGCTCTAGCTTTTAAGGGGCTGTGAGAATGGAATATAAGGTAGAAAACGTGGGATCTTTGATGCGAGCTTTGCAAACAACATACAGGGATGGAAATCCTGCCAACCCGTGCCTGGTCACGTGAGTCTTGAGGGTGGCTGGACCTCCCAGATTGTGAACATCCTCGTTGTTTGTCCTAATAGTTGAACAAATATTTTCCATGAATGCTATGAATGAAAAATGTTGGGAAGCTCTATACTTGAAAGGGATAAACAAAATAAATATTCCTTGTTTATCCTCTGAACATCGTAGGAAGTATGTCATATCTTTTCCAGCTTTTATTATAATAGACCATATAATTATTTGCTTTTTTCTTCAAGTCAGCTCTGGGGCTAGATTCCTTTGCCTCTGGTGAGCTAAGGAAAAGAGCGTAAAGGATCCCACAAATGCGTAAATTTCCATTCTCAGACCGACGTCCCGTAGAACTCTGACTGCTGCTCATTTTAGGACCAAGAGGTGGACTTGGCCAGACGTTGACAGCTTACAAAGCACAGTGCCGAAGGAGCGGCAGGACCCCGGGCCCATGCCAGTGAGGCCGCAGGTGGGCAGCATGTGGTCCTAATGGGAGGGCACAGAGAGAGATGCAGAGTAAATCTTGCAGGAAAAACAGTTCAGAGAAAACACCTGAAAAAAACTCCAAATTCTCCTTAGGCAGGAGAAAGATCTCAAATTGAAAGGGCCCATAGTATCAGTTTTTTCAGTTTGTTTTGTTTTGTTTTCCGGTACCAGGAATCGAACTCACGACCTCGCTCTTGCCAGGTAGGCGCTTTGCCGCTGAGCTAAATCCCCAGCCCCAAGCCCATCGTATCAGAAAAGATAAAAACAAACACAGTAAAATCACTGCTTTAAAGTCATTACCAAAAAGAGTTTATAAGAAAACGATGTTCATCTGTGGATAAGCCTTGGTCAATTCTGTATCCAGGATCCCAGCTTTTCTCTCACCACTCGTTACACACAACAATTTCTGTTTCCAAACTGAGAAGGGAGGGATGACAGCTAGAGAGAGAGAACCAGTAAAGTCAGTGACATGTTATGTATTCGTGTATGCATGCATTTCAAGGACTTGGTGTTCATGGTTATGAGGGTTGGCTCAGTGGTATGTAGGAGAGATGATCAAGATGGACCAGAAAGGAAAGTCATCAGAAGATTTGAAGTCCAAAGGAGGAAGCGAGGCCCATGGTTGAAGTTGCTGCTTGTGCTACAGCTTGTTCTGGGAAAATCTCAGCCCAGCTTCTCAGCCCTTCCAACAGATGCCGGTGAGCCCAGTCAGATAACCCAGCCCCGTATTTCCTACTTAACAGCCAACTGAATGGGGCTTCATGCCATCCTCCAAATGCCTTCAGTTAATACCTAAATTAACATTTGGCTGAGTAACTAGGAGCTGTAGCCTAGTCACATTGATCCTGCAGCGAAACCGTCTCAGTCACCCTTTGTCATCCTGGCCGCTGTGCACATCTCACGCCATACTTGGTATCTAAATCCAGACAATGAGATTACGCTTCCACTTAATGTGATGAGCAGCTATCTCCACTCCAGCTGAAAGCGTGCCAGCCCTTTTCCCAGAAAAGCATGCGAAGTGCTTGTGTGGTGTTTGATTCTCCTCTGCAGTCCTACAGCTCTGATGCACACTGAGATAAAATACCAACCATAACTGAGGAAAAACACTGACAGTAAATATATTAGAGCTATGCGCTTAAGAAAGGTAAAAAATCAATTGAGCAATATGTTCTTTATTCAGCTTTACTTTTTATTAGTACAGTACATGTTTGTGTCACCTAATGATTCCATTTCCTGTGGGGAGTTGGAGCCTGTGCGTAACAAATCAGAATTCGTTTTCTGTCCCCTTTCACTTGCCTCCTGCTACCCCAGCCCTCTACCTCTTGGTCCCCTTGCTCATTTGAAAAAGATCTCCAGGGCGGGGAGCGCCAGTCTTCTGACCGGCAGCTCACACCCTACCTCACAGGCCCCCGGAGGGAGGGCCCCTGGCACACAGGGAGCCACGAGGCCGAGAGCGCTGTGGCGTGCCTGCCTTCAGGCCGGCAGCTGCTGCTCAATTGAGAACTATCATGACACAGAGAAACAATGACACAATTGGCCCACCATGCACCGCCTGCAGATGCCCACCTAAGGACGTGTGTGAATCATTCAAACATGGAAAAACCCCTGGGAATACATGCTATACAATGGGCCACTCTTGCTTCTGCCATTGAGAACCAGAAAGGTCTAGAGTCAGCAGAGGAGCAGCAGCTGAACAAGGACTCAGAGAACATGCGAATGCAGACTAGGCCCGAGGGGTCAGAGGTCCTGTGGACTGGGGCCATGAGAGCCGCTCGGAAGCTGTAAACCAGGAGGACCCTGCACAATACCTGCAGAGACTCCGTGGAAGCCATTCTTCCCCTGACAGTACAGGCTGTGGTGGACCCCCGGAGAAGTCTGCAACAGGATTCCTGCTGCCTGTGCTGACAGTTGGGGAGAGGACACTAACTGTTTTGGGGTCCCAATGCGATGGGAGGCTGAAGAGAAGATGCTACAAAAAATGGCTTTGGCCCCAGACGGCTCGATTTTTTTTTTGTTGTTTTGTTTTTTTTTTTTTTTTTGGTTTTTTTCTCTGGTACCGGGAACCGAACTCACAACCTTGCGCTTGCCAGGCAGGCACTTTTGCTGCTGAGCTAAATCCCCAGCCCCTTGACGGCTC